TCTCTCTCTCTCTCTCTCTCTCTCTCTCTCTCTCTCTCTCTCTCTCTGCGTGTGTGTGTGTGTGTGTGTGTGTGTGTGTGTGTGTGTGTTTGGTGGTGTGTTGAGTTTCTTGCAGAAAGAAAGAGATGGTTCCTTCCCTGTGATCCAATGTACTAGTCAGAAGTCAGAATCTTTTGATTGGGAGTGGAGACCATCAATGTACACGTTATAACTGAAAGCTGGTTATTCACTCCTGCCATTTTGTTGAGTTGGCCCTGTTTGGTTTTTTTCCCTCTTCCTTTAACTATTGTTCTCCTATGGGTTATTTTTTCCTGTGGCTTCATAGATGGATCTGATTTTCTCTTCAGTTCTAAGGATTCACTCAAATATATTCTGTATAACTGGTTTATTGACTATACATTCCTTTAGTCTACTCTTACTGCAGAAAGTTTCTATTTTTCTTCAGTTATGACAGTGTTGCTGGACATATTAAATATAGGTTGGCAGTTGTTTTATTAATTTTTTTAAGATTTACTTATCCCATTTTTTTGTACATAGGAGTATTTTGCTCACAGGTATATGTGTGCACCACATGAGTGTCTGGTGACCGAGGAGGACAAAAGAGGGCACCAGATCTCTTGGGTCTGGAGTTGCAGGTGGTTGCTTGTGAACCTTCATTTTGGTGCTGGGAATTGAACCCGAGTTCTCTGTGAGAGCAACACATGCTATTAACCACTGAATCAACTATCCAGCCTCAATTGTTAGCTTTCAGAACTTGAAATACATTACACCAAATCCTTCTGGCTTTTAAGTTTCAGGTAAATAATCTTGTGTTACTGTGATGGAGAGGGTTTACTTGTGAATTGGTGTCTTTCTCTTGCCACTTTAATATATTTTCTTTGTTCTGTATAGTTAATGTCTTAATTGTAACATGATGAGGGGAAGCTCTATTTTGGTCTTGTTTGTTTGGTGTACTAAATGTCTCCGGTATCAGCATCTTGTTTCTTTCATTGCTTTATTTTTACTTTCTTTCCTTCTTTTGTTTTTTCAAGACAGGACATCTCTGTTGCAGAACTCACTCTAACAACCTGCTTATTGCCACTTCTTGCTTGCTAGCCTGTGTTTTTAGAGTATAAAGTGAGTATACAAACTGGACCTGGGATGAAAACCTTTAAGGAGCTGTCCTGGCTTAGATTCACTGAGGACTTCTCTCCTTTTCCTCTCTCAGTGGTGATGGGAGTGCTTCTTTTTTTTTTTTTTTTCGAGACAGAGTTTCTCTGTATAGCCCGGGCTGTCCTGGAACTCACTCTGTAGACCAGGCTGTCCTGGAACTCAGAAATCCACCTGCCTCTGCCTCCCAAGTGCTGGGATTAAAGGCATGTGCCACCACTGCCCGGCTGGGAGTGCTTATTCTAGAAAGATTCCTGAAACTGTTTTACTGAGTTGTATGTGCCCACCGGTAGGTAACCCTAATTCTCAGGAGGCTAGTCAGTGTTGTATAGTGAGACCCTATCTTTAAACAAATAGTTCACTGGATGGATGCTGAAGGAAGCGCCCTAACAGAAAGAGAAGACTTCCTGAGTTCGTGTAGGTCAGTTACAGTCCAGACGAAGGCTCTAGCCTCCTGGGAAAATATTAAAGAAGTAAATTACATTACTAAGGGGTAAGATCAAATGGGAAAGTGGAGTGGGCCTGACCTTAAACTGTAGTCCAGAGCAGGAATGTGAGGGCTCAGTGGATCGTAACCTTTCTGACCGTAAAAGCTTGAGGAGAGCTGATGACCAGAAGTCGAAACCTGTTTTGTGGCCCCTGAGCCACTCAAGATTGCGGTTTCTCCATACCTGACCTTGTAGATCCAGAAATTTAGGAACATCAGTGCACCCAGCGCCTAGAGGTTAACGCCCAGCCACGCCCTTCCCATAGGGCGTGGGCGGAGCTTCTGGCGGAAGGGCAAGGAAGGAGGTGACGCGAAAAGCAGGCGCCCGTGTCGCGCTGCCGCTGGGAGGAAGCTCGGCCGCCTCGCCGGCCGAAAGTAGGCCGGAGACCCGGTCGCTGGCCTGGCTTCTCCGGGTGTGGGCGTGGGCGAGGGCGAGGGCGAGGGCGAGGCAGCGGTCCGGGTCGCTGCAGCGTTCGTTCAGGCAGAAGGTTAGGTGCCGGGAGCAAAGAACGTAAGTAAGCGGGAGCAGGGCAGCCCAGGCCAGGAGACGGCCGCAGCACTGCTGACCAGCCCTTCTCCGCGCCAGCTCAGCGCCGCCGGAGGCCGGCACGCAGGCCGCCTAGTGGGCGCTGGTCTCTAGGGACTGCGGACCTCCTTCTTCCTCTGCAGCACGAACTTTGAGATCCAGACAGCCAGAAACCCCCTCCCCGGGCCGTTTTTTCCGAAGCCAGGGAAAGCTTTGCCTGAAGATCGCTGTCAGGCTCCCAGATCCTGTGGAGTCGGAAGTGGAGGGGTTTGAGTTGATCAAACAGCTCTGCTTGCTTGCTCCTTGCTGGTTCCTTCCCACCCTGCTTATGCATGGTACCCTTGGGCTTTAGGATGGTGGGAAGCTACTTTTTTATTCTGTCCGTCCTGGGTAGTATTAACCCCATGATGAGGTTCCCCACTGTGGAACTATTCTGTCGAGAGAAGTGGGATGCAGAAAGGTCACGGGAGTTTGTACTTAAGAGTCCGGAGAAGCTGAGTTGAAGCTCCAGCTTGCCGTTTGGTATTTGTTTTTAGTTCATCACCTGGAAGTAGGCATATTCTTATACTAGTACAAACTAGCTGAAATAACTGAATGAAATTTTTTGAGGATCTGGTTAAAACGCCATTTAAGAATATTCGGGACACATGGCGCATTCCTAATTATGTGTTTGCCTTTTGTCCAGAATAAGCTTGGTATGGAGAGAGAGCAGACTCCTGTGTAGTTGGAACTTAACTGCAATCTGTGCTTTGAGTGTGCAGCATCCAAGAAACCTAGTCACTCAGATGCCTTGTGCTTATTGGTAAAACAGTGATGTAAGAAGGGTAATTTGCCAGTTTCTCTCGTTATGAGATGGTATTTGTGTGCTAAGCCTTTAGAAAAGCATCTGCCTGGGAGATGCTTGATTTACGTCACGTCCCATTTAGGAGGCCTTTGCACCTATGTCTCAGAATCCCGTACTCAGCTTCTAAAACATTTCTTGTGTAGCTCAGGCTGGCCTTGAACTTGCAATGATCTTCTCTTGGCCTCGCAAATGTATGCATATTTTGCCTGTATGTATGTGCTCCACTTGTCTGGTGCCTGTGGGGATCAGGAGAGGGTGTTGGGTCCCCTGGAAGTTACAAATGGTTATGAGCACCGTGTGTGTGTGTGTGTGTGTGTGTGTGTGTGTGTGTGTGTGTGTGTGTGTGTGT